AAAATACAAAAACAAATACAAAAATACAAATATCTCGAAATACGTGTGTATGTGTACGCGGCTAACGGCTCTTCCTAGGCAAATGCTAACAGAGAATGACACTGACCGATTACTAAAGGCAACGAATATATAAGCCTGATGCCGAAAGGCGCGCAAAAATTATGAAAAGCGGGGGAAAATGTTCAGACAAAATAATTTTATAGTAAAATACAAAAACAAATACAAAAATACAAATATCTCGAAATGCGTGTGTATGTGTACGCGGCTAGCGGCTCTTCCTAGGCAAATGCTAGAGAATGACACTGACCGATTACTAAAGGCAACGAATATATAAGCCTGGTGCCGAAAGGCGCGCAAAAATTATGAAAAGCGGGGGAAAATGTTCAGACAAAATGCGGCGAAAGTTTTTGCCGCTAATTTTTGAGAACTATACTTTTCACAATTTGCACTTTTTTAAGTTCGCACTAATTGGGTCGACGACGAGTATTTTATTTGCTTGTTTATGGGCCAAAGCGATTCACATATAATTCAAAATATATTATTTATTGCAGAATTTGGTTGTTAGTACATGCAATGTACATGTTTTGTATTAAGAAACGCGAAACTTGTGACTGCAGTAGGTTCGAGACAATTTATTTTGCGATAATTTGTGTAAAAACTTTTACGAAAGTACGACGACGAAAGGGGAGTGGATACGCTGAAGTTCGATTGATCACTAAATTTAATATTTCAATAATTTCTCTTAGAACCTAACTTATGCTAAGGTGGCGAGAGACGGGGCGAATTCGCAAGAGCGAACGGATGAAAGCTTTATTGGCTCCCGCTCTCGCCCTACAACTTGTGACTTCAAATAAAAGAGCCAAGTGCTCAAACACCTACTCTCTTCTAAGGGATTAAGATATTTGGAACGAGTGACGCCTTAAATCGACAAAAGATAATACAGAGGGTAGGGCTGATCATGTTACTGAAAGACTATACAAAAAATTAAAATCATTGTATGTATTATATTAAGAAATTAATGTTTTTGATGTGACTAGCGCAGCAAATTGTTGTAATTGTAGCGCTAGGATAGTATTAATCCAATACTTCAAATTAAATTAAATTCGGAAAATTCATTAGGAAAATATGATTATGTTGATAGGTACGTACCTAAGGAAACTTAATAATTATAAACAAAAAAAACCGAAAAAAATCTAATCTATAGAACCAATAAACTTAACAAAGGCAGACATGAACCCCTCGCCATTACACCTAGAGACATAATCTTTAGGAAGGTAAACAAGCGTAATAAGCTTGGGCCCACATTAATTACTCAGGAGGTGAAGACTTACGTCCCTTAGTCAACAGTCGCAGAAGATTCATAAGTCCAAAATTAAACGAAAAGTCATAACCAAAAAAAGACATTAAGACATTATATAATAATAATAACAGTAACAAATATTAATAATAATAAAAAGAAAATAAAACACTAACCAACATGTTTTCAAACTAATATAATTATTATTATTAGTATCGGGGTGTTTAGTGTACCGCGACCTGTAAGATCTATTGTACCCCCATGCAGAGCCTACAGTTCAGATATCAATCCACTTCCTCGAATAAAGTCGAGGAGTTTTAGTGGGTTGATTCTTCCTAGGAGCTCAGGTGTAAGAGTTCTGGTTCCTAAAATTTTACCTCTTTTACTTGCTAACGCCGGACAGTCTGCGATGATGTGTTTAGAGGTTTCGTCCTCTATGTCGCAGAATCTGCAAGTTCCACTGCTGGTTATTCCCATCTTACCTAGGTGACTTTTCAGTCTACAGTACCCGGTTAGTAATCCGGTAACGATCCTAAGTGAATTTTTCCCTAGTTGAATAAGTTCCTTGAACCTCTTCTTGTTGTAGTTATTTATTTGAGTTTTTGCTTGCCTTAGGCCTGGGATATTCCTCCAGTGTTCTTGCCTCATGGCGCCTTCCTTTTGCCTAAGCTATTCCTTTATAGTGTGCCTCCCTATGCCACAGTAGGGCTCTGGTCCTATCAGGGGCTGATCGACTCAAAGTTTTGCCATTTTATCGGCAAGTTCATTTCCGGATATATCCTTATGTCCCGGAATCCTTTTGAGGGCCAGCCTGTTTCGGCTGCCCAATATATTTAGCTTATTCGTCACCTCAAGGACTAGCTTCGAGGTGATTTTGTTACTATGTAAAGCAGTAACTGCTGCTCGACTGTCCGAATGGATCGATATGTCCTTTTCCTTGTATGCACGCGGTATGTTGAGCTCTGCACAACGTCCAATGGCACATACCTCAGCCTGGAATATGCTGGTATATAGGCCAAGGGATAAAATATTCGAGGCCCTACCACTCCAAGGCCCGTGCCTTGTTGTGTCAGGGATCCATCTGTGTACCATGCTATGGTGTGTTTAACCATAGGGTGCTCTTCAGAAAATGTGCTCCACTCTTTCTTATTGCCTAGGTGTGCTTCAAAGTTCTGCTCGAAGATTAATTCGGCTGTCATTTCATACCTAGGGTGGAGTATTAGGGGCACCTCACCTAACAGATTAGTCGCGTCCCTGTTATTTAGAATGCACCACTACCTGTGCCCTCAGTGCTTATTCTCAGGAGTGTAGCTTTGCGTTAAATTTCAATTACACAGTGGAGTGGCGTTAGCTCCATCAGAATTTCTAAGGCAGTTAGTCCTCATTGTCCTTGTCATGCATACGCAGGCAAGTCCTTGCAACTTTCCTAGCTGGTTTTGCATGCTGGTGAGCTTAGCTCGTTTACCTAATGCAAGTGCTTCGTAAGTTAGGATTGGCCTCACAATCATTAAGTATAGCCATCGTGTTATCTGAGGCCTGGTTCCCCAGGATTTCCCAGCAATTTTCCGACAGGTATAGAGTGCTCTGTAACACTTTTCCAATGTCTTTTGGACTTGGGAAGCGAAGTTCAGCTTACTATTCAAGGTGATTCCTAGATATTTAATCTCTCGTCTAGTTTCTATAGGAGTTCCTAGCAGTGAGATTTGTATCATTCTCTGTAGTTTGTACTTCCTTGTGAAGGGAACGATGACTGTCCTAGCAGGATTTAAGTTGAGTCCAACCTCCCTGCACCAGTCTGGCGTTGTCTTTATTCCGAGTTGGACGATGTCGCAGAGTGTCGCTTCAAATTTGCACCTGGCGATTATCACGATGTCATCGGCGTATCCCTGACATTGGATTCCTTTACAAGTTTTCTGAGAAGCTCATCTACTAGCAGACTCCATAGCAAAGGGGAGAGTACTCCTCCTTGCGGGCAGTCTCTGCTGGTTGCAATTGTCACGCTATCCGAACCCAGTGTACATGTTGCTTGCCTGGATTTAAGTAGGTTGCCAATCCATTTGCTCGTAGTAACATCTATGCCGAAGGCTCCCTCTATGTCTAGAAAGGCACAGATACCTATTTCTTTGCTGTCAATTGCCCCTTCTAGGGAGCGACATAGTTAATAAAGTGCAGTGTCTGTTGAACGGCCTGCTCTGTATGCATGCTGTGTGTTTTGCAGCGGACAGTCTCTGAGAGCTGTTCTTCTGATATTGTAGTCTAACAGTTTTTCCAACGTTTTAAGACAAAACGAAATTAAGCTGATAGGTCTGAAGGACTTTGGGCTAGTGATATCTTTCTTCCCGATCTTGGGGATGAAGACCACCCTAGCGCTGCACCATGCACTTGGGATGTATCCAAGGGCTAGGCTGCTCACCATTAGTCTTTTTAGGCGGGTTAGGAGTAGTTCCTACCTCTGCTGTAAGAAAGATGGAGAGATCATGTCTAATCCCGGTGATTTAATTGGTTGGAAGGTTACAATAGCCCATTTGAGTTTCTCGGGCGTAACTATAGACTTGACTGCTGCCCAGTCACTAGCTACTGTCCTAGGGGTTCTATGTTGATAACGCATTATGTTTCCCGTAGTGGGAGTACTTCCCAGGAAATGCGTGTCAAATAGCAATTCTAATTTCTCCCGATCCATGGAGGTAAAGGTGTTATTCCCTTTCCTCAGGGCTAAATTACTATCCGCTGCACTTTTAGCCATTGCTTTGTGCAGTCTCGCGTCCTCGTTGACGTTACTTATTGCCTAACGCTCTATCTAATTCCAAGGGATGTCTAGGGTATCCTGCCGGTTCGTTGGAAAGATTGAGCTCTAGAGTTGACCTGAATTTGTCCCAGTTTGGTTTCCTGGAGTTTCTTCTAGGGTTACATCTTTTTGTATTGAAGACTCCTTAAAAAAAAAATCCTTTCGGGGAAAAAAAATATTCTTTTAATAACCCCATGCCATTTAAAAGGGGGGGTTTAAATGATTTGGTTGCCAGAGTTATGTCTAGCACCTATTCCCGTACCCTAGTAACAAATGTCGGCCTGGCGCCGACATTACAGATCTCTAGGTTATTGTTTAAAATAAATTCTAGTAATTGCTCACCTCTGTTGATGACATCCGTGCTGCCCCAGTTGACATGATGCGCGTTGGCATCGCATCCTATGATGAGGGGGATCTTGTTCGTCCGGCAGTGGTCCACGAGCCCGGTATTCCTGGCGGTGGACAGGTCTCCTCCCCGGCAAAGTAGACGGAGGCCACTGATGCAGCTCCTGTGCCCTTGATGGCTACGGCGACGCAGTCTCTGCTCATGAAGTCTGAAAAGCTACTATAATTGATATCTTTCCTTATAACGATGCATGATCTGGGAGGTGATCCTCCTGGATCGCATATTACCTTAGTGTCTTTCGTGTACAGGCCTTTTATGCCATGGTGCCATCATGGCTCCTGTACAAGGGCTAGCCCGAGGTGCTGGGAGGTGAACATCCTCGCCAAGACAGCAGATGCTGCTTTGGCCCGATGGATGTTTACCTGGGCTAGCCGAGTGCTGCTTGTTGCAGCCATCACTCCGAGGTTTGGTGTTCCGCGATGTCTGGTGAAGAGAGAGAGCAAGTCTCTCCACCACCGTCTATCACGGTAGGGTGGGTTGACATAGGGTGTCCAACCCCTTGGTCGTCCCCAATGTCCATGCTGGTGATTGATTGTCCGTCCTGCTCCCCACTCTTCACCTTCGGCTCCACGTTCAGTGGTTCGAGGGTGAAGTGCCCAAACCGGAAGTCGAGCTTGTGGTCACGCTCCACTATCTCATCTCTTCCGGTCTGGTCCATCCCCACGACCAGGAGTGCACCAGCTCCGTCGTTCTTCCTGGAGATAACCTTCCAGGCGTCCGTCTCGACACGGTTTTGGAAAACAACCTTTATCAAGGCAGTCGATAATCAGGTAACCCACCCTGAAGTGGATTCCCCTGAACACTACCGGACCGCTCCACGCTGACGTGAGCATCTCGTCCATGACCGATTCCTGGAGCCCGGATAATTTCTCTGCGGTCAGGCTGGCCGCCGGGAAACCCTCCCGGAGTATGGCCACCCTGATGAGCGTAGCTTTCTTGGCAGCCTCCGCGTATGTCGGACGGGGTCCGATGACCGGTGGTGCCGAGCTAGAGGGTCGTCCTCCAGCGGTTGTCGGTTGCTGGTTTTGGCGGGGCTGGGAAGGTATCTTCCTGGCCTGCACCTTTGCCGTTTCTGCCGCTGCTGCTGCTGATATGCTAGGCCCCTCTTGCCTAGGGACCCGTGAGGGTCTTCTCGCCTGAGCTACTGGTGGAGTCCTAGGCGGGTGCGCTGCCGCCTGGGATCTGTCGCCGTCGAGGGATCTGTCCTCGAAGTGTCTTGCGACACCGGTTGCAGGGATATCCTGCGGGATTTTTAAGTTCTTAATCTTCTTCATGGGGTCCCACGAGTTGCGGGGAAGTATATAGTCCGCCCGGGCAGAGATCCGCCGTACCCGGGTAAGGCGTAGTTAGGACAGACGGTCGCCACTTGCCTGAACCCTCCGTTTGCGACTGGGCTATTTATTAACTCGGGCGCCCAGCCAGGCTGACTATCGGCACGGGTCGAATGACACCTTAGTCCGGCACCGAGGTGAGATGTGGGGGGATAGGATGGAGGTAGGTAATTGTGAGGGAGAGGGTGTGTAAGGCTACGGTGTTAAGACGGCCAAACAAGCGTCTTGTCGGTATACCTCCATCGGTATATCTAAGAATCAAATACATTTTATTCCCTTCAGAGGGCATTATAATTTCAGTAGGAAGTTTGCAAAAAATTAAACAATATTTTGTCTTTGCTGTTTTCAATTTTATTTTAATTCTTCGATGTACTGGATTATTATTTTAAAATTACTTATTAGATTTGATTAAAGTCGGACGCCTATATCAAAAACACCCATGCAAGTAACCAGGATTAAAAAAAAATGTATTTAAAAAAAATTGTCATAGCTCTATTTTTCTAAATAACTAATTTTTATAAATAATAAATAATTTAGAGTTACGCTTTTAATTTTATTAAAATCGAAAAACGATATCGAATATCTTCCCTAGAAACGATCGAATAGCTGAGCTGAAAGTCTTCATAGCTTGTTTTAAAACATAAACTCATATAACTCGAAGCTTACATTTTTGAAAGAATATTTAATTTTTTAATTAGCTTATGAATATATAATTGCTTTGTTTTCCTATGGTTTTTGTTTGGCTGTCATTTTTTAAAAGAGCAAAAGCGAAAGTACACTAAAATCTACTACCTGTTTAAATAAAATGCAATAGCCATAATAATTTCTTGACTTACGAATCTTTATTTTTTCGTAAAGGTTAAGACCTTCTAAATATTTTCCGTTTAAAACTGTCTGTTAGCTTTCCATTAGAATTAAAAAATGTGTAAATTAAAAAACAAAGAAATAAAACTGAGCACTATTCTCCAAAATCACTTGATATTATAAGCAATTTTTGTTTTTTTTTCTTACAAGTATACAGTGGAAGAAAATCACGTGTTACTTTGCTTAAAAAAATAATGTATTGCAATGACACGCTTCGAAAGCACGTAGTTGATATTTAAAAACGAGAGCGACACAATTAATACAATTTAAAACCAATTGTTGTGCTCGTTTTATTTCCTGTTTGGGCTAGGCCAAAAATTACCACTGGAGAAGCCCCAAACCCCCCCAAATTTTTTTTATTTTTTTTATTTTTAACCACAAATTTACCTTCTGCCAAAAAAGTAGCGGGACTGGATAAACTATACATTTTTTATGTTGGCAAAACTGTGCTGCCTAAAGATTGTACGGGATCTGTCAAGCAGTTTGTTTACAGTCGCTGGGTTCGTCAGTCTATGTGTTCATGTCGAACCAAGCTTGGTGCAACATAGCTAGCTTGGCATCACTGTTGCTCAGCCGGGTAAAACCTCTCTCCATATAGGCATAGGCTTAGACCTCACGCCATATTTTTTTGTAGAGCATTAAGAGAAATGAAGTACACGAAGCAGCAAGTGAATTCAACCCCGAAACCGAATTTTTATTAAACACTTGGAAGGACTCAGCACGGCAAGGACCCGCCCCAACATTTGGTCCTTCGAGCCGGATTCCACCAGCTTATTGTTTTCCACCAGCTAAGTAATTCCAAGGTTTATATTTATATTTTTTTCACCCACCCACACTCCGCACTCCAATTGGACTCCATTTTGTGTGAAAATATATATATATATATATATATATACCTAGTCGTCTTTTTTGCCGATACTAATTTTCGAGCACAAATTTGTAAAATATACATCATCTTCATTCGCACCTTCACACACATACAAGCTTAACATTTTCCCTTCGGCGCTCACATTTAATAAAAATCATCTAACGTTTTATTATTATTTTTTATGTGAACATGTGTTGTGCAGAAAGAAACAGGGGGCTTGTGCACATACCAAATATCACATCCACATACACACATACGTAATTTCAAAATCATCCAATTTTATTATTATTTTTCATGTGAATATTTATGTTGTACAGAACGAAACAGGGGGCTTATGCACATACCAAATATCACATCCACATGCACACGTATTATTCTAACATTACAATATTTTACACATCCGAATATTTTAACATTAAAACATAACATAACATCCGAATGTTTTGACATCACAACAATAACAACCCGGCTTACGCATCTCGCTGCGCCAACAGGCAATTATAAGAGTGGAAACCGCACTTGTCGGACGGGCGAGTTAGAGGGCGGCACCAACAAACGATCGCGGCATCCCGAAAAACAGAACCCAATTTATTTATTTGTTGTTATTTAGTAGCTTTGCACTATATCATTCATAACAACATTCATTTCTACATACGTACATATTGTATTAGTGTGAGTGAAATTACGCAGGTTTGCATACCGCATTTTAGAACAAGTCAGCCAATTAAGGTTACCGCGTTTGCAAACAACCCGAACCTCGATAAACCTTTTCCACCTTAAACCTGTGCCACCTAGATATAAACAGCGATCGGATTTCACGCGTTCCGCGACCTTTTCTGCTGTTTGTTGTTTGGTGTTATTAAATTACAACAGATTTAAGTATATCGAAGTGTTCCACCCAAAAATATATTGAACCATCAAACACCGGTCTGATTTCACGCGTTCCCATTTTTGCTGTTTTGTTTTTTGAATTTGTTTAACATAGCAACAAATTTAGGTATTTAAATCGGTTCATCCATAAACTAATTAAAACACCAAACCGCGTTCCGGCTCCACGTGTTCCGCATCCAGGTCTTCTGGTATTATATGATTCAACCTACCCAATTATACACATATTTTGTTCCAAATATATTCTCCAAGCACATATCCATTTCACATCGGCAGCACAACTTCCTAGTTGATGCCTTATTTCCACTTAGTCTTCGGCATTCACGACCATCGGCTCGTCCAATCCGTGTCCTTTTTTTTACTCCTACGCGAGGTTATTATGCCAATCGGTGAAGGTGAGGAATCAAAGGTTCAGTTAATCGTCCCAACAGCTGGCACCTCACACCGAGTCAGAGCCCACAGCGAGTCGTCACTGCCCACCCACAAGGCAGAATCCAGTAAAACTTTAAGTCCCTCTATTAAGATCAGCCGTCCATCCAGGACAACAAGCGAGAAGTCCGTATCTTCTCTAAAATCCGTAACTCTGCTAAAAACGAGATCAACTGCTAAAATGGCTCAGGTTGACGCTGACATAGCTTTGGCAAAATTCGTGACTTTAACCGACAGAGTAATACAATTCGAAGCCAGAGTCAACACCCCAGCTGACCAACTTCCGTCCGTTCACACAAATAAGGTCCGACTTGAGCAGATACGGGCTCTCTGGGACAAGGTGGAGAGAGAGTTCGAGACGTGCTCTGCGGTCCTCTTTGTATTAAAGTGTAAAGACACGATTACAGTCAAGCAATCTAAGTATGATTACTGTTACTCGGTCTTCGAACGATGCGTTGCAACATTAAGCGAAACGATTGAAAGCGCCAGCGTTTAACAGCTTAGTCAGCCTTCCACACCGGCGCCTCGTCCTAGTGGGTGCCGCGTTCCCCCAATAGACTGCGAAATTTTTAGTGGCGACTGTGTTCATTGGCCGACTTTCCGAGACCTTTTTTTCGCCATGTATGTCCAGAATCCCGGTTTTTCAGGCCTCGAAAAGCTGTTCCATCTCAATTTGAAAACGAGTGGTGAAGCAAAGTCCATCGTTGCGCTAACTCCCTTAACCAACGAAGGGTTTGAATCAGCATGGAGGAACGTGCAGAATCGTTTTGAAAACAAGCGACTGCTCGTCAACAGCCAGCTTAAGATTCTGTTCAATCTTCCCTCTGCTTCCCAAGAATGGGGGAAATCCTTAAAGCACCTGGAGAGCACAGTCCAAGGGTGTTTGACAGCCTTGGAAATCGCCAAGGTAGACACCACCAAATGGGATTGTCCGCTCGTCTTTCTGTGCTCCTCGAGGCTGCCGAAATTGACGCTGTCTTTCTGGGAGCAGTCTCTCCTTCAACCATCCGAGATTTCAGGGTGGAATGATTTCAAGGTTTTATTACAAGATCGTCATCGAACCCTTGAGGCAATTGAAGAATTCAAACCTACGGTGGCGGCTCAATCCACAGGTCCACGAGCTGAAAGCGGGCCGCGAATTATCCACAACTTTGAAAATAGGGTCACAGTAAATCCACTACCGTGTAGACTTTGTTCAAGGGAAAACCATCCTATTCGTATGTGTCCCCAGTTCCAAAATATGCCCGTCGCGGATCGGGAACTCTGTTTGAACTATTTTGCAAGAACCCACATGTTGAGAGACTGCACAAGTACTCACAACTGCTACACTTGCAAAGGACGCCATAACACTCTCCTGCATCGTGGCGGCCCTCAACAACTCCAGTCAGCACCCGTACCTGACCTCCAACCACCATTACAGTCAGCATCTATACCTGACCACCAGCAAAGTGTACAGTCCACTCAATCGAACGTCCAATCGTATCTCGCCGTGAACACGCAAGGGGTCATCCTGAGCACGGCGCTCATAGAGATCTGCCACTCGGGCATAAGGTACTCTGCACGCGCTTTAGTTGACTCAGGATCAGAAGCAACTTTTATATCGGAACGGTTATTCAACCTAATTAAGCTCCCCTATGAATCCATCCAAGCTCAAGTTGCGAGATAAACCAAACTGTTGCTGCTCAGCCTCGCAAACGCTGTCAGTTCAACATAGGCTCCCAACATAGGCCACATATACAACTCGAAGCCTCCGCAAATGTGATACCAAATTTAGCTGGAAATCTCCCATCCTATACGATACCCGAAGGTTCTTTAAGGGACCTGCCCAACCTCCAACTAGCAGATCCAAATTTCTACCAGAGTTCGCAGATTGACGTGCTCATAGGCGCTGATCTACTTCCATCGATTATTCTAGGCGGCTTCCAGTCAAATCTTTGCGGAACACTCCTTGGCCAAGAGACCATATTCGGGTGGATTCTTTGCGGCCCAATCGCGAAGAATCCCACTAACAGAATAGCTTCCTTCTCGACACAATTGTCTGTCACTGAGGCTAAACTAGACAGCATCTTCACCAAATTTTGGGAGGTGGAAGATGTTCCAGTGAAGCTGGCTGAGGAATCCAGCTCGGTATGGGAGAACAACTTCCAGCAGACCACTGAAAGGGATGAGAAAGAGAGGTATGTGGTTTCCTTGCCCTTTAAGGAGCCTAGCAATATAGACCTGGGACATTCAAGCCCTATGGCATTGACGCAATTCCTTAAAAACGAGGCACGGCTAAACAAAAACACCATCTTAAAAGAGCAGTACGACTCAGTCATCCAGGAGCATTTAGATTTAGGTCATATGCATCTGGTCTCTCCAAACGACGGCTCCAACAACTTTTATTTGCCACACCACGCGGTTTTCAAACCAGACAGCATACGACAAAGGTTCGCGTCGTATTTAACGCCTCCAATCCATCGTCAAACGGGTACAGTCTTAATGATATCCTTCATACAGGTCCGGTACTGCAATCTGATTTGACCACCCAGATCCTCAAATGGCGCTTCTTTAAGTACGTCTTCAACGCAGATATCACCAAGAGTACATCTTGGCAAATTCTTGTTCATCCCGATCATACGCGCTTCCAAAGAATCCTGTTCCGCGATAAAGAAGGGAAGCTCTCCGACTATGAGCTGAACACGGTGACCTTTGGCGTTTATTGTGCGCCCTTTCCGGCCATTCGCGTGCGTCAACAGCTAGCTCAGGATGTACTTGACCAATATCCTTTAGCAAGTGACATAATTTCCAGATTCATGTATGTCGACGACGTTCTAGCTGCAACCACACGCAGCAGTCCGCTGTTCTAGCCATCAAAGAACTCCGGTTGGCCCTCGAGAGTGCAGGGTTTCCACTGCGAAAGTGGACCTCAAACGAGAAGGGACTCTTGCAAGGTATCCCAAAAGACCACTTGATCAGTTCTGACTTAATTTCTTTTTCCTACCAAGGGAAATTTCTCTTCAAACAGACTACACCAAACGAGAGGTTTTATCCAGATAGCTAAACTATTTGATCCAGCAGGATGGTTATCGCCTTTCATCATCCGGGCCAAGATTTTCATACAAGAAATTTGGCTGCGGGGATTAAGTTGGGACCAGCCTCTCCCGACTGATCTCGTCACAAGGTGGAATGATTTTCTTAAAGGGTATCCAGCCCTGAAAGAGATTCGCATTCCAAGATGGGTGCGATTGCATCCAGCAGCGAAACTGCCATTTTTGTCCGTGACGAAACGACTGACGGCTGCTTCATAGCCCTGCTTTCATCCAAGACCCGAGTTGCTCCAGTAAAGTCCAGTAAAGTCCGCGCTTGGAACTCTGTGGCGCAGTGCTTCTCTCTGAACTAGCTGCAGCAGTTCTCTCCGAGATGCCTCCTACTCACTACGCCTCATTTTATTGGACGGACTCTACGATAGTGCTTGAATGGTTTACCTAGTCGTCTTTTTCAAATCATCTAACGTTTGTTATTATTTTTATGTGAACATGTGTTGTGAAGAAAAAAACAGTGGGCTGGTGCACATACCAAATATCACAACCACATACACACATACGTAATTCCAAAATCATCCAATTTTATTATTATTTTTCATGTAAATATTTGTGTTGTGCAGAAAGAAACGGGGGGCTTATGCACATACCAAATATCACATCCACATACACACGTATTATTCTAACATTACAATATTTTACACATTCGAATATTTTAACATTAAAACATAACATAACATCCGAATGTTTTGACATCAAAACAATAACAACCCGGCTTACGCATCTCGCTGCGCCAACAGCCAATTATAAAAGTGGAAACCGCACTTGACGGACGGGCGAGTTAGAGGGCGGCACCAACAAACGATCGCGGCATCCCGAAAAACAGAACCCTATAATTATAAAGGGTTATTTGTTGTTATTTTCTTTTTTATTAAATTTATATTTTATAGGGGGGGGAAATTACGGGGGTTAAAAATTGGAATTTTTTTTTTTTTTAATAAAAAAAATTAAAAAAAAAAAAAAGTAAAGCGATGGGGGGTGGGGGGGGAAACAAAAAAAAAATTTGGGTTGGGGGGAAAAAAACAAAAAAAACAAAAACCCTTTTAAAAAGTTGATTTTTTTTAGCTGAGGAATCTTGTAAAGGAAATCATTCACTTTTGTCGAGTGTGCACCATCCACAAATGGAAGCTGCAGACTCAGCTGATCGCAGATTTTACCTCAACCCGCCCGAAGCACCTCATATGGGGGGCTATGGGAGGCAGGTGTCAAAAGCTTCAAGACACACTTCTACAAGCAGACGGCTGTCGGGAAATACACATTCGAGGAACTAACTACCCTCCTATCAAAAATTGAGGCCTTTTTAAACTCGAGGCCTATTTCTCCAATGTCCGAAGACCCCACTGACCTTGTAGCTCTCAGCCCCGGGCACTTCTTAGTGGGTGGGCCGCTCCTCTCCGTGACCGAGCCCGAGATTAAAGAAACCCCCATTTCCATTATTAACCGGTGGCAGCGGCTAAAGGACCTACATCAGCAGTTTTGCTTTCGATGGAAGGAAGAGTAGTTGAAGGAGCTCCACAAAAGAACTAAATGGCAATCCCCAATGCGAGACGTTAAGACGGGGGATATGGTGGTGATTAAGGAAGAAAACTTACCACCAAACGAGTGGCGTCTTGGGCGGATCCAACGTGTGCATCCAGGCGCAGACGGCTTGACCCGAGTGGCAGATGTCAACACCACACACCAATCGCGAAGATGATCCGTCTCCCGATGGAGGGCACTGATTCCAAGTGACTCTTCCTTTTGTTCACTCCTCCCAGATTTATCCACTGTCAGACGTTCTTACTAGTCCTAAGTTCATGTCGTTCTCAGGTGCCTGTCTTTATGCATGACACAGTCATCTGCATCATCCATAACACATTACCTCTGTTTTTATCTATTCCCACACACAGAGTGTTTACGATGGCGCCAACCAGAAACCAACACGCTTACAGGTGCCGCGTTTGCAGAGGAGTTCACGCCTTGGGAAAATGCCAACGGTTTCTCCGTCTTCGGCCCTTAAGCGACTCCGCGCCAACTGCCTTGCTCACGAGCATTCGGGCCAAACCTGCCGTAGTAAGGCCAAGTGCCGCGTCTGGTGGAAGGCATCACTCCCTCTTGCACATCCAAGAGCCCCAGTCGCCGCGCGCAGCACGACAACAGCAGCAGCAGAGGATGTCGCCGACAGCGCCCAGTGACCCTGTTACAGGACCATCGTGCGCTTCTATCCTGCAGCGCACGAGTGTGAGCATCCTTCCAACGGCGTCGGTTTTGGTCGGTTCCAATGTAAAATGGTTTGACTCTCGAGCTTTGGTGGATCCATGCTGCCCCGTGAGTCGCATCCACGTATCTTTGGCAAAAGCTCTCAACCTTTCTGTCACCCGCGTGGGCTATGAACGGGTTTGCACCACCGAAATCCGTTCGAAGTCGTCAAGCATGGGCCGACAACTGCTAATGCTGGTTGATGACCAGATGCAGACCCGAACGCCGGCAAAGCCCCTTGATCCAAAGGTCCGAGATGGCTTCAGAAACATCACGTTGGCGGACAACAGGTGGTTCCATCCCTCATTGGTGTCGGTTGTTTTGGAAGCTGACATCTACGCGGAATTGGTGCTGCCGAGCATCCGCCCGAGTCAGAATGGATTGCCCATGGCACAGGACTCTACCTTAGGGTGGCTCCTCTCGGGCACTTGCTCCCTCTTCTGACGGTCCACTCTTCCCATTTCATGTCGAACCAAGCTTGGTGCAACATAGCTCGCTTGGCATCACTGTTGCTCAACCGGGTAAAACCTCTCTCCATATAGGCATAGGCTTAGACCTCACGCCATATTTTTTTGTAGAGCATTAAGAGAAATAAAGTGCACGAAGCAGCAAGTGAATTCAACCCCGAAACCGAATTTTTATAAAACACTCAGCACGAAAAGGACCCGCCCCAACACTATGTTTTAGTTGCTTGCCGAATTTCCATCCACCTCTCTTACTGACACTAACATCGATGCAGAGAAGGAATTTTTTTCTGAAAATCATCATGCCAGCTTAAGAAAGATTGCACAAGTCATGAACATCTATCACGAGTCAGTTCGTACTGGCCGTTTGGGTATGAACTAAACGGGTATGAATTTCCTGCGATGAGAATACCGAAAGCAGGTGTCTGCCGACATGCTGGATAGCACTAATTCCGATCCCACGTTCATGTAACATATCATTACAGCTGATGAAACGTGGATGTATGATGCTTACATGTCAACAATCGTCCGACCGGCGACCGAATAATGCTCCAAAACTGAAAAAACCAAAACACAAGAACATTAACTGACGTAACCAGCGACTGTAAACAAACTTCTTGACAGATTTCGCACAAACTTCACTTAGTTATGTAGATCAGTGTTGCCAAAATAATAAAAAAAAATTTCAAAATCGATTCAGCATAAGCTTTTTAATTAATGGCGACCGAAAGATGCTCCAAGCCCGAACAATTCGGCAAGCACCTCGAACATAGACTGATGTAATCAGCGACCGTAAACAAACTCCTTGACCGATCGCGCACAGTGTTACCAACATAACAAAAAATAAATCCAAAATCGGTTCAGCAGAGGCTTTTTAATTTATTAAGTCCCGGTACTTTTTGACAGAAGGTATTTATGGCACGCGGCTGATGAACAAGGGAGGGGACAATAAGTTAAAAGGCAGTTTTTTGGGCCACTAAGTCAGGAATTTTTCCAAATAAATGATTTCTCTTAATTTTTAAATATCATTTAACCAATGGCCTTATTTTCCTTAATTTCTAAGCTGTTGGCATTGTCAACATTTAACCAAGCCCCTCGAGTCTTATAAAATTAAAATGGGTAGACTTTGTGTCGATTTTAGACAGATCAACGCCAAATCATTCAAAGTCGCTTACCCGATGCCACGGATAAACAACGTCTTGTACCAATCGAGGGAGGCAAGACACATAAGCAGTCTAGACTTGAATGGTGGCTACTTGCTGATTCCCTTAAAAGAAAGTAGCAGGCTATTCACGGTGACAGCTAAAGGACTAGTCCAATTGAAAGTGATGCCGTTCGGCTTACGTTCCGCGTCGGCAACCTTTAAGAGAGCACTAGCTCAGGTTACCGGGCCAGAGATGTCACCTCACGCATTCGCATACCAAGACGATATCAACGTGATCGGACGTACACTGGAACACAGACGGCACTTGAGAGCAGTTTTTCGACACCTAAAGCAAGCAAACCTAAAGATAAATCCCGAGAAATGTCAATTCTTCAGAAGCAAACCGCTTTTCCTGGGTCACCGCGATACAAATCAAGGGATCGGCACCGATCCTGAAAAGGTAGAACTGCGTCAATACTTAGGCGTAGCGTCTTGGTAAAGATGGTTCGTGCCAGATTTTGCCCGTATTGTGAAACCACTCAACGATTTACTGCGCGAGTGGCCAGCAGGCCTTTGAAAAAGAAAGGCAAGACCAGTGGCCGACCGGATTTCGAGAATCCATTCGTGTTGCAGACAGGCGCCAGCGATTACAGTATAGTGGCAATCCTAGCCTTGTGGCTTAGCAACAATAAATAAGAAGATCAGCTATAGCTGGTGTAGAAGTTTATTTCAAGCTTCTGCTTGCTTTACGTGCCAAGTACGACTAAAACAAGGTTACAAAAATAAGTATACTTAAACTATGCTAAGAGAGAGAGAGAGAGAGATAAAAAATGAGCATAAGCTACCAAGTGTAGTCGGCCAGCCGACTTAGCATACGTGATAATGCTGCTCTCGGATTGGGAGCGAGCGACAGTATATCA